CTGTACTGTACTGAACTGTACTAAACTGTACTATACTGTACTGCACTGCACTGTAGTGTACTGTACTTCGACACTGGTGATCTGATGTTCAATTGTGTCGCTACTCTGTAAAGCATTGAGTCCTTACCTCTTCCCTGCTGCATCATAACCTCCTACTGCGGTCAGTCATCAGCGATTCTTTTACCCTGCGAGTGCTAAATATTCCGTTCAATTGTTCAAGTTGAAGCCACCTAATTGGATCGGTGAGATCGAGGAGAGCCAAGAGCGAGCAGAAAAATATTCTTGGGAAGTGGTAGTGAGGATGACAACAGTGTGAAAAGGGAAGGGGTGGGGTAATGTAGGAAAATTGAATTTCTTTCCGACCTCCCTACCCCTCCTAGGTTTGTCCGCTCCAGGCCCTCTTCGATCTTACCAATCCTAAATGGCGCTCGCCAGAAAAACATGGCTGTCTACTTTTTGGTCCAATCGGATAGCGAGCCAAATATCCTCTGATTAAAGCTCACAGTTGGCTCGAATTAACTACTTAAATTTTTTTTTTGAATTTGATCATCATTTACGTCTTTTCTTTATTTTGTAGGTCTTGATGTCAAGGTTAGTTCTCAATGTCCTATGGAATTTCTCGTCGTTGTCTTTGCTATTTGATTTTCTTTCTTATCCTTTAAGTCAACTGAGACAGTTCTGATATCTTTCAGGGAATATACCGGGTGTCTGGAGTCAAATCTAGGGTGGAGAAACTTTGCCAGGTAACGCACACAAAATTTCCTTCTATGCTTACAGTTTTGGATCAAACGGCGACGTCTTAGCTTCTAACTGTGTTTTTATATCTGCAGTCGTTTGAAAATGGAGAGTACCAAGCTGACTTGTCAGATACACCACCCCATGTCATAGCTGCCGTTCTTAAACTCTACCTCCGACAGGTGAGCAAACTTCAAGTCTGTACCTCATTGCCGTTAAGGTTTTGCGTGCATTGGATGTTGAACTTTCCAACTCGATATATTGCAAGATTGCGTTGTTTTTGTTTTTTTAGCTCCCAGAGTCGCTTTTGACTGTCAAGCTCTATCCGGAATTCATCCGCGTTGCTAAGGTGAGATTCATCAGATTAGCTTTATTGTTGTTGAAGACTTGTGTTATTTAACTTTCAATGGTCTTGTTTTTATCCTGACAGGAGAGCTTCGCCATAATAGACAACTCCACGACGTGCAAAGCAGCTTCGGAAAACGAAGATATCCAAGAAGAGTACCAAAGCCTTACCCGAAGACTTCGGGAAGTCGTCATGCAGCTTCCGACAGCTAACCGTGTGACTGCGGCGCGTTTGATTAAGCATCTGAGGAGAGTTTCAGATCACGATGAAGCGAATGCCATGCCCGGAAGCAAGCTGGCAATCGTGTTTGGACCCACACTACTGAGACCAAGGTAAGAAAGTTTTAGTTTCACCCATACGTTAGAGAACAAGCGACACTTTTTTTATTATAAAAATTTTCTTAAGAAACGGGTGAGAATCTGACGGTCGTGTTAGAGTCCTGTGTGTTGTTGTTGCCATACGATGACAGAATTGAAGCCATTATCGGCAAAATTTCTATAGAAGTACAGTTTATCCGCTCCTACAACCAGCCCGTAGGTTTATTTTTTGCTTTAGCCTGGGTGTTTACTCATAGATGTCGTTTACTGTTAATCTTTTTCTGCAGTGAAAACGAAGTAACTACCACGTTGTCTTCTCTAGTGGATATGCCTCACCAGACTCGCCTAGTTGAGCTGCTTATCGCAAGTCCTGAGGTAAACAAACAAAAAATTAAATACTTAAGCTATTAGTGCACCTACGTCTCTCTCCAATTTTTAACGGTCCTGTCTGTTTTCGGAAGATTTTGTACATGTCCTGTTGTTTCCAGACGGTTCCGTCTGATCCCGCTCAGTTTCGTCTGTTATTGGACGGATCCATACGTTTTTAAATGCATTTTGAACGATTTGTAACAAATTCTTTCAAGGGTATTCTAGATGGTGCAGGGTTTTCCCCAGCTGTGCTCATCGACACTTAAGTTCAATTTGGGGCGGTGGGGGCCTGTTTCCTGACATTTCCAAGAACCCTAGTACCTAATCCGGCCATCGCAATTTCATTTTTTCTTTTTCTTCTTCTTAAGGTATTTGAATACCCTGAAGCCGACGATTCAATATCACGGGAAAGACCTGTAGAAGTGAGTGGCACACATTGCATATTAACTAGGTTGTCGTACAATTATGGTCCAAACGCTAAATCTCCCAACTGATGGTAATTTATTCTTTCACTTACTAATCCTGTTGATTTAATATCATTTCAAAACACCTCCCAAAGTTGGTAAGCGAATACATGTTTGCAAGAGGTGCTCATATAACTGACCAGTCTTGTTCATCTTTCTCGGTAGAAATTCAGTCCTCCCAAGCCGCTTGAAAGAGAAGGCAGTTTGGTAGTAATCCAGAGTATGCGATCTGCTGGTAATTTCTTGTTCTAGAATTGAAAATACGTGGAGACTACATACTGGACACTGAGAGTGTTTCTTACACGGATCGTAGAGAAAAGGATTTGTTCCTATGACAGCCTTGTACTATTAAACGTCAGAAAAACAAAACCAAAATAATCCCAAAGTGCATAACAACTTTTGGAGAGAAGTGTAAGGTTGTTTGCTCTGTAATTGGTCCACAATACAAGCGCCACTCTCTAAACCAATCATGTTTTCCCGCGCTTTAGGCGGCTTGTTTGTTCTTACTCTGAGTAGTCATCGGCTCCTCAGATTTTTTTGCTTTCTTCTGATTGGCCGTTGTAATTACTGGTTTTGGTTTTACGACTCTCAATCAACAAGCGCTTTTTCAAAGAATATCGGCGAATAATTCGCTTTACTCCCCCCCTTTTTTTTTAGGAAATAATCCAGACGACAGTTATGAGGCGGGGGATGAAGAGAGGTAAGTGAACAGTCAATTTTTCCGGTTCTTATTGGTTTAAATCGATCACGTGACGCGATAGTGTTCATCCGTGGAGAGGCACTAGGGACCTTAAGTAGTCAGGACGGCAACGCCAAGGAAGACTTCGATTAAAAAATGAATTTCTACTCTTAGTTAGAATTTCAAAAATGGCTGCATGAGCTTACTGTCTCATACTGCGCCACAGCTCAACTTCAGCATGACGTGTAAAAGTAGCGTTGAGTTCCAAATGGAAATTGAAATAATTTGCCGTCGCCGTTTCGGTTCGCAGACGACGCAAATTTTGGCGATTTCACGATGTTGTTTTGCATAGGACGGCTAAGAAATGTACAAAGTTTCAAAATACACGTGCTGAGCTATTGTTCTGCCAATTAGATCTCTTGTTTTTACCACGTCCTCGTTGCCGTCGCCGTCGTGGTTGCTTAAGGTCCCTGTTAAGTGTTTTAAGACTGAAGGAAGAACAACCACACACAGGTATGATCAGCGAGGTTTAGAAAAACTATCATCCGGAAAGCCACACAGAAAGCCATATCCAACGGGAATTAACTCCTTTTTTTCTTTTGAAAACGTTTACTGCGGGACCAGCTATTATTTATTGTTTGGGAAGGGAGGTGTCGGAGGATTTTTGGGCATCCCATGGTTATCAGGGGGAACGAAGGGGGATCAGTTATTGCTTACAGAGTATAAGGGGGGGACTGTCGAATATTGACTGCTTAGGGGCGATCATTAGATTACTCCATCTTCTTGTTGTGGGGGGGGGGGGTCAGGTAAATTAATTTTAATGTGACTCAAACAAAATCTTCCGAACCCCCTTCCTCCAGATGTTAAATAATGGCAGGTCCTAATGGACTGGTTTTTTAAAGGAGGTCTGGCCCAAACCGCGGTTTTACAAAAGCCGTGGGCCTTTGGTATTCTCTATAAGAGAGTTGATTTAATTGTATAAATGACCTTCCACGGTTAGCTTTTGACCCTCTTCACACTGTTTAGCTCAACTGAAGATGTTTTAGAACGCATTTTTGTTAAACAACGACTAAACTTTGTTTAAATAATCGCCCAATGAATCTTGGGAAAAATTTGGAAATAATAAAACAACTACATATGATGTACGATCCTCGCAGTAGATAGCGCTATTTAAGCAATAGCGAAAATCAGACCTGAAAAAAATCAGGCCTGTACGGGATTCGAACCGCTGACCTCTGCGATACTAGTGCAGCGCTCTACCAATTGAGCTAACAAGCCAACTGGGAGCAGGCCGTTAAGTTGATTCGTAATAAACCCGTGAAAGTGATAAATGAGATACAATGAAATATATGAAGTTCATATATTTTGAACTGCGGTATTAGATACATATGATGTACGATCCTCGCAGTAGATAGCGCTATTTAAGCAATAGCGAAAATCAGACCTGAAAAAAATCAGGCCTGTACGGGATTCGAACCACTGACCTCTGCGATACTAGTGCAGCGCTCTACCAATTGAGCGCATTCACGGGTTTATTACGAATCAACTTAACGGCCTGCTCCCAGTTGGCTTGTTAGCTCAATTGGTAGAGCGCTGCACTAGTATCGCAGAGGTCAGTGGTTCGAATCCCGTACAGGCCTGATTTTTTTCAGGTCTGATTTTCGCTATTGCTTAAATAGCGCTATCTACTGCGAGGATCGTACATCATATGTATCTAATACCGCAGTTCAAAATATATGAAATTCATATATTTCATTGTATCTCAATAAAACAACTCTTTGTATTCTTTTGAAGAATGACGTGGTTTATTAGTGGTTGGTTTATTAATATGTAATAATAATCCATACATTACTGATTTACATTCGTGTAGCTTGATCAACACACCAGACATAAGCATATCTCAGCCTCACTCGGACCACTCTCCTGTTCGACGCAATTCCAGCTCCCCGGCGTAAGTAAGATGCATGCGTGACTTTCATACGTAACGCAATCTTCCTACTTTGTGCATGACAAAAAGCTGTATGGGTTGTACGGTAGTCATAAGTTGTCACCTTTGATTTTTCAGAGCAATCAACGCATCCCAACCAAAGACCATAAACATACCACCGTCGCCTTCGCCTTCAACGTAAGTGAGAGAATGGCATAATTTTATTGTAATTTCCTTTGTTACTCCATTTTTTCTCTGTAAAGCCCTTTACACCCTCACGTCAGTATGCGTATTCTCCATATTGTACTATATACATTTCGTAATGTGTTAAAAAGGAGAATTTATTAAACAATTAAGAGCGTCTTTGGTTCGAGATCGTTTCTTTTATTCTCGTTACCTTAATGTAAGATTCAGGGTAACATCGTAAGGAGAAATTCGATGTTAGTCACTCTCCAAGGTCAAAGGTTTAACTCCCGGTTTTTACCAACAGTAAGGCTTCGGTGATATGTCTGCTCCGCATTTGGTCATTGGGCAGAGCTTACTGTACAGTATATCGGCCTTCGTTACATGTCATCATCTGTAACATCGTAAGATCTTTGACAAAAGAGTAGTGCAGTTACAACCCACAATTCCTCTATTCGCTCTGACGAAGGGCTAACACTCGAAACGTCAACTATAGAAACTCTTTCAGGAGGCCAATTTACTTTGTCAACTCATTTAATAGAACCAAATTATCTTGTAATAGCCCCATCGACTCGTAGCACCGCAGTTTCTCTAGAAACTCGCCCCTTTAGCGCAGTTACACTTGCAAAAAAGTTGGACGTGTAGACTCTTCAAAAATTGTTCCGGCTCGATCTCCTGGCGTAGGCACCTTAATTGTGTATCCATTCTTCTAATGACCCTCCCCTCTCTGGAGAGTAAATTGGTACAAGGGCGATGTGGGGAAAAAGGGATGTCATCCACGGAAAGGGAAACACTTCAGATCGCTTCTGTTGACACAACGGAAACTGGGATAACCTGCGACTGAGTTGGCCCAATTATACTAAGTGTAAAGCTGACTTTCCGTGTTTCTTTTCCCAAAAGCCATGTCCCTTGAATAAGCGATCTCTTTGCTTTATTCTTCTTAGAAACTTCAATGCTCACCGCTATTAGTGGCTCCAATCTCTCTGGAAGAATGAAGTGCTAATCTGTATGTGTAGACGACGAAGGCAGGCTTCCCTAACGTTACTTCTCTCGGGGTTGTTAGTAGAACTAAATGATTATGAGACAAAACAAACCGATAAACAGCTTCATTTGAGTTGTTAAAATTGAAATAGCACCCAGAGTTATTCCATTGGTAGTATGCGGGATTTTGAACAGTCTTTGTTTTTGCTCTGCCATGCTAGTGAATAGTAAGTTGCTTAGCTTAGTGAAGAGAGAGGTCACAATGAAAGACGGGAGCCATTATTCATGGCTGTATGCTGTTTTGTTTACAGGAGGAGCAGCCTTGGATTTGGATCAGAGTTTTTTGATCTTCTTGCGAGGTCCAACAACAGAAGTGAAGAGGTACGTTGGCACATTGGTTTGTTTGAGTTGTTACTTTACTAACAGTAATAGTTACAGCAAGTTTCGAACCTGCTTATTAATTCGAACTCAAGCAAAGATAGAATGGCGCAGAGATTTTAGAGATTTCTATCTTCCTCTTTCTTCCTCCTTTCATATTTAGCTGAATGATCGCGCGCATTACAGCATCCCAGAGTTCCTGCTATCAGACTCGCCGCGTGAGAGAGTTGCAATTCCTCGGGAAGATTCCGATATGGAGGATGAGTACGAGGACGACACTACTCAAGGTCAGCGGGTTCCGTTTTCTTCGAAAGCTAAAAAAGAGGGCTGTGCTTAATAAAATAACTGTGTCCAATCTGGCCAAGGAGTTTTGTTGATAATCTACCTTAACTCTTTACACTCTAACATCAGTGTTAATATTCTCCTAACTCTTTTCGATCCCTTTTCCTTGATACTGACAAAGAGAATTCGTTCAATTATCAAAGCTTCTTAGGTTGACGATCGTTTTCTTTATACTTATGATTTTAATGAAAGAATCAACAGTATAACTGCAAGGAAAAATAGGATGATGATCACTCTTATGTATAAAAGGTTAAAACTAAGATTATATATTTTTTATTTTGTGTAATTTTAGGAACAAGTGGATCTCGTACTCCAGACGACGATCTGGATTCTTCTCATTTTAGTGCTGCAAGACGCGTAGGCTCTCCACGGTCCTCTAACGAAAACTTAGCGGACGATGATAAGGTCAACTCAATTCGGGAACCATCGTTCTCGGTGATTTCTCGGAGTTCTTTGTCTTATTCCTTCGCTCCGAGCTTCACTTCAGATGTCACTAATTCACTATTACCCGATCCCTCTGATAGCGTTGGATCGGACAAGATAAATACCTCGAGAGGCGTCGGGATTCCTTTTAATGAAACACGGATCTTTAATGGTCAATATGATTTTCGCAATCGGTCATCTTCGGGAAACACTGCAGAAGAAACTCGTCCACGAACTTTTGTAAAACGAAATTCTGATCTTCCAGGCCGGGCTGGAAACGTTGCTGACTACAGCAAGGTATTTTATCCAATCGGGATGAAACAGTCGGCTAGTTACTCTAATCTTCACAAAGACCCCAATTCCATCGAGGAGGAAGTATCCTTAAGAGCGATTTCTGAAGTTGCCAGTTCATCTTCCAACACAGTAACCAGCTCGAAAAGCGACATACTTGATAGAGATGATCTAGCCGAAGGCGATGATCATACTTATCTTGTCAACCAATCAGTGGCTGTAATTGATGTTGACTTTAAAGGGGCGCTGTTACCTGAAGGGGTAGGGGACAGTTCGGTAATTGGTTCCACGGCGAGCGCGGTCAGTCCCGTGCAGTCCTCAATTAAAGGGAAAGCAGAGAGCAAAGTGGTAGCTTCATCTCTGACCCCACCGCAAAGCCCTGCCCAGTCTCCCTCTAGCGAGTATAAAGATTTCGATGTCTCGTTAACAACCTCAGCCGATAAACCCGCTTCCGTTCCCGAGATCCCATCGGAGACCGGTCCACGTGAGCTAATTATTCCTGTGATGACGGCTTTGCAGGAGAGAAGATCTCCGACTCCAAACTCTCCCACTGCTGAAGAATCCTCCGAGTCGCAGTCTTCAGATAGAGCTGAAACTCCGGTTGATGCAACGCCTGAAAAGAAGGCAGTCAGTGTAGTTGACGATAAAAAGCCTGAAATGAAAGGGAAGCCTCGGTCCACTTACACTACTCGGGTATCAGTCAAGGATCGGCTACAGCAGTACGAGCGAAATCGTTCGGCAAGCGTCGACTCTAATCGGAAAACCTCGTCGGAGCTATTTAGTCCGAACACTGTAGCGTCTCGAAAGCAGAGATTTGAACAAAGAGAGCGAGGAGTGTACAAGCGCGTCAGCGACATGACAACTGGGAAGCCAAGAAGTGACTCCGGCGGTAGTGGATCGGGCTCGGCCAGTGGTAGTCCTAAGTTGTCAAGGAAATATCTCAATGACACTGACGATGGAGACAAAAATAAGCTGGTAAACGATAAGCAATGCGAACCACGTCTTCGAAATAGAAAGGAGAGGTCAGAAAATACCGACAGTCCACGAAATTTGATTCTCGACAAACTTGATCGGCAGCGAGAAAGTGAAGATGACTCTTTTAAACTTGATTTAAACGATGGAGCCACTCTGTCTCCGAGAGAAATCGACTTTCCCATCGATAGTTTGGGTGCTGCAGATAAGAATAGATCTGAAAGAACACGAAGAAGTCCGAGTAATAGTCCGAGGTCGAGTCGGACAAGTACTCGTTCTTCGTTTCCCGACGATAGTAAGGAGGAGGATCGAGAGCCCCAGTTCGTGTAATTTTGTCGTCGTTCAATTGGTAATTTTCCAGTTTTCTGTCCAGGAGTGCGTGACGTCTAAAGCGCTCGGTTAGGCTCTGTGATAAATATCACAACTTAAGACAAAATCAACTTCGTTTCCCGTCCATATCGTAAAGAATGACTGAAATAAGACCATTGTTGGAACATTAACTTTATTGTTATGTGGTGACCGGAGTTTGATGGAAATCATTTGCTTGCTTGGAGAGCTATTGATGTTCTTTTGAAGTTTATGGAAACTTTTCTTTAAGAACTTTACCGCCACAGTCATCTTTATACATGTTTTTCGTTACTTTTTAATACCCTGTTGAGGAAACAACCCCACTGTTAATCTTTTACGCCCTCGAGGTTGATCCTTTCACTCCTAGTAATGACCAATGAGCAAATTCTCCTCACTATATCCTTGATGTCAAGCAGAAAGGTGTTGAGAATTCAGAATAGTGTTGACTTAAGACCTAGTCACACGCTTCTTTCGTGCTTAGCAACCTACCGCGTGCATCCATATTTCAATAGCGTTTTATAACATGACATTGATACATTGTAGCTAAAGAGTTCCCTTTAATTTAACAAATCTTACGTGAACAGAAAAAAAACAAGCGCGCGCGGAAAAAAATAGTCTTTGCATTTGCTCACGTCAGCAGCGTTAACCCATGGGCAAATTGACCGATCAGACTGCGCTCTTTACTTTGGTTATGTTACAAACAAAAAGGGGTTAGGTTTCTAAAGAAACTATGGTGCTGCGTCACGGGGGGTAAC